GCTCCCGGAGTTCCCGCAGCTCCTACAGCTCCCGCAGCTCCCGGAGTTCCCGCAGCTCCTACAGCTCCCGCAGCTCCCGGAGTTCCCGCAGCTCCCGGCGCCGGCTCCGCGGGGAGAGCCCCAAGCGCCGCAGGGACCCCTCGGTCAGGCGGAGCCGCGCCCGGCCCGCCAGGGCGTGACCCCGAGCCAGCCCCGAGTCCCCGCAGTGCTCCGCCGGCCAGGAGCCCACCTCGGGCCCCGACCGCTGCCCCGCCGGGATCTCCGGACCCGCGGACCCCGACCGCTGCCCCGCCGGGATCTCCGGACCCTCGGACCCGGGCCGCTGCCCCGCCGGGATCTCCGGACCCTCGGGCCCCTGCGGGAGGAGAGAGCGAGCCGGCTGTGCCGCCACAGGGTCACGGTGTCACCTCAGTGCCACAGGGTCCCCGCCACAACCGGAGCACAGCCCGCGGTCACATCCCTGCCGTGATGCTGGTGGCTGCACACTCGGCCCAGTCATTGGGTCATGGGGGTCCCCAAATTCCGGCTTGTGCGGGTTCCCCGATCCTAACCCTAAATCGAACCCTACCCTTATCCCTAACCCAAACCCTAATCTTGCCTCTAATCCTAAATTTACCCCTACTCCTAACACTGACCCTAACATTCATACTACCCCGAACCCTAAACCTGCCCCTGCCCCTAACCCTAAATCGAACCCTACCCTTTTCCCTAACCCTAACCCTACTCCTAACACTGACCCTAATATTCATACTACCCCTAACCCTGCCCCTAACACTAAGCCTGCCCCTAACCCTACTTGTAAATCCCTGCTCCTAAACCTAACCCTCACCCTAACCGAAACCCTAATCCTAACCCAAACCCTAACCCTAAACCTAACCCTAACCCTAAACCTAACCCTAACCTTAACCCAAACCCAAACCCAAACCCTAAACCCTAACCCTAATCCTAACCCACATCGCCCACCCCCGGAGATCCTACAGGATCCAACTGTAGGAATCCCCCCCACTTCACCCATGGGGACCCCCCCATCCCCTTCCTATGGGGGTCCCTGAAATCCCCACCCATGGGGGTCCCCAAACCTCCTCCTGTGGGGTTCCACATCCTCCCCCCATCTGGATACCCCAACACCCACCCATGGGTCTCCCATCCTCCACCCGGGGGTATCCCACACCCTTCACTCATGGGGGTCCCCCATCCTCTGCCCATGGGGGTCCCAAAGCTCCACCTGTGGGGGTCTCACACCCCCATCCACGCGTGTCCCCCCTCCTCACTAGGGGGGTTCCCTGGCACCCCACCGCAGCTGTCCAGGGGGGTCCCCAGCCCCTGCCCACTCTCACCTCAGCCTCGGGGCTCCCCTCCAGGGGTGCCTCAGCCCCATCCTGCGCCGGGGGTCCATGCGGGGCCGGGGGCAGGGCACGGGGGCAGTCCTGGCTCCCTGCAAACGGGGCTCCGTCAGTGTGGGGGGGGTCCCCAAATCATCCCCTCCACGTCCTGCCCCCCAGCCTGGCAAACCACCGTCCCACGGTCCCGCGGGAGGCACACAGCCGGGGGCTCCTCGATGCCACCCACCCCGCGCCCCCCCAGCACAAGGGGCACCGTGACACGCCGGTGACACCAGCGCCGGTTCTGCCGTGCCCAGAGCCCGCGGGGGACACCGGCACCGCCCGGCTCCCCTGCCCGGCCGGGACCTCCGATCCCCTCCTTCCTATCCCCCTCCTCCTCCCCCGCTCCGGGTCCGTGCCCAGCCCGGCCGGGACCTCCGATCCTCTCCTTCCTACGGGGATCAGAGGTCCCGGTCCTCCTCCTCCCTCGCTCTGGGTCCTTTCCCTGCCCGGCCGGGACCTCTGATCCGCTCCTTCCTATCCCCCTCCTCCTCCCTCGCTCCGGGTCCGTGCCCAGCCCGGCCGGGACCTCTGATCCTCTCTTTCTCATCCCCTTCCTCCTCCCTCGCTCCGGGTCCGTGCCCAGCCCGGTCGGGACCTCTGATCCTCTCCTTCCTATCCCCCTCCTCCTCCTACCTCGCTCCGGGTCCTTTCCCAGCCCGGTCGGGACCTCTGATCCTCTCCTTCTCATCCCTCTCCTCCTCCCCCGCTCCGGGTCCTTCCCCTGCCCGGCCGGGACCTCCGATCCCCTCCTTCCCATGGGGATCAGAGGTCCCGGTCCTCCTCCTCCCTCGCTCCGGGTCCTTCCCCTGCCCGGTCGGGATCTCCGATCCCCTCCTTCCTATCCCCCTCCTCCTCCCTCGCTCCGGGTCCTTTCCCTGCCCGGCCGGGATCTCCGATCCTCTCCTTCCCGTCCCCCTCCTCTTCCCTGGCTCCGGGTCCTTCCCCTGCCCAGCCGGGATCTCCGATCCCCTCCTTCCCATGGGGATCAGAGGTCCCGGTCCTCCTCCTACCTCGCTCCGGGTCCTTCCCCAGCCCGGTCGGGACCTCTGATCCTCTCCTTCCTATCCCCCTCCTCCTCCCTGGCTCTGGCTCCGTGCCCAGCCCGGTCGGGACCTCTGATCCTCTCCTTCCTATCCCCCTCCTCTTCCCTCGCTCCGGGTCCTTCTCCTGCCCAGCCGGGACCTCCGATCCTCTCTTTCTCATCCCTCTCCTCCTCCCTGGCTCTGGCTCCGTGCCCAGCCCGGTCGGGACCTCTGATCCTCTCTTTCTCATCCCTCTCCTCCTCCTACCTGGCTCCGGCTCCGTGCCCAGCCCGAGGAGAGCCCAAGGAACCTTTGCCCGGCCGCTGCCTCCACGGGCACAGCCCCGAGCGCTGCCCCCAAAACCGGGCACGAAGCTCCCCGGGCATCCCGGGAGCCGAGGCACGGGGCCGGGCGGGCTCCATCCGTGCCGGGAGCCTCGCAGGAGCTCCGCCGAGGCTCCCGCTGCCTTCCCGGCTCGCTGCCGCCAGCCTGGGCACCTGCAGGAGGTTAAACCCCCCATAAAACACCTGCAGGGGGTTAAACCCCCCATAAAACACCTGCAGGGCATTAAACCTCCCAAATAACACCTGCAGGAGGTTAAACCCCCCAGATAACACCTGCAGGGGGTTAAACCCCCCAAATAAAACACCTGTAGAGGGTTAAACCCACCATAAAACACCTGCAGGGGGT